ACTTACTAGTGAATGGATAAATTTGATTAAGAAAATAAAATTTAACTAGTAGAAAATTTTTGAGAAACTCCTAAAAAAAAAGAAATACAAGCAGTGGCGCTGCAAAGCTACGATAGAAGAATTATCAGGAAGAGTACTTCTGGGAAGCACTTCGAATTGCATAATATATGGGCAGACTTCTTTTTTTTTTCTTTCCTCATCAAAAACTTCTTTTCAATTTAATTCTATGAAAAGTCAAATCTCATTTGATAAGCTTACCAATTAGCTAAACAAATGATCAATGAAGTATATAGCAAGGAAGTTTCAGCTTGTCTTCTGATAGATGTATCAATTGATTTATTTCATCCAAGAAACGATGTCCTATAGGCCTAAAAATAAAACATCCTAATTCAGTAACTTCTTTTTTTCTCTTTGCTTTTCATTCCTCAACAGTACTTTTCAAAATGACATTTCCTGTTTTGCTAACAATAACAAAAATCTTTGAAAGATAAAGTTAATTTTAAATGATATTTTTTTTTTTTTCTGTTTATAATATTTAAGGCTCAAATTATTTCCATAACTTTTTCAAAAGTTTTTTCTTTTTTGATAGATGAAAAGATAATTGTGATTCCAGAAAGAAACCGATTTTTTTATAAAAAACAATATTTACCAGTAAAAATTATTATTATGTGTATGCATGAAGTGTCAATCATTCATAGTAATTTCATCATTATCATCTTATCTAATCTTTCCAATCGAATCATTTTCTTTGCCACTGATTTGCACAATTAACTTTCAAGCAGTATTTTTATAACATACTAACTGACTCTTTCCCATACTTTATTCGCCACTCCTAACACAAAAACATTCTACTTTATTCGAAATCGAAATTTCAAACAGCAATGAGGAGTATATTGTTCATTCGAATTATATTCGGAGATTGTTTAAATGATGCAAATATATCTACCTTTTTCGAGTTTCCTTGAAGTTTAACATTTTTTTTTATTTTTTAAATTTGAAAATGAAAGACTTTTTTTCTTCCACAGATTGCAGGTTACTTTTTTGACACCTATAAATATTGACATTCCTTCTCTTACTTTTTTACATGCCTTTCACATACGAAATATTGGAAAGAAAATATATACATACGAAATAAAATTTCTCAAAATAAATACTATTTTAGAAATTATGATAAATGATTTTCAGGTATTTTTAGAAGTCATTTCTTATCTGAGAGCTGATCTCTTCTTTTCTCTTACTTTCACTTATTAAATTATTATTATTATTATTATTATTATTATTAATTATACAGCTAATCTTAAACTCACTCTCATTGTTACTTCTTTATGAACCTTCGATCACTATGTTTGAATGATAAGTAAAGTGGTATAACTCAGAAATATCGCTTTATTGATATTATTAGCGATATATATAATCAGAGGGTGCAAAAAACGTTCTTTAGAGGGTAAAAGAAGGAGAAAGTATATATCTATGGAGGAAAAATTAATGATTGAGCACTTATTGTTTAATAAAATTTTCCTCCAGTATTTTCTTCTTCTTTTTTTACTTCTTGGTAGTATGTAACTTTGTTTTTAAACATCAGATAATATTTCTATAATTTGTAAGTTAAAAAAGGCATTTGAATACGAAAAAATTCGAAAAGTAATCAATGTTGCTGTCTCGAAATATTTAAAATGACAAAATTTTTCTGCCAATAACTAATGGCAAAAATAACATTTGTTTTAATAATTATTTCTTTATATCATTCAAAGTTTATACTACAATAAATCATTCAAGAAAAAACGGCTATTTGTAAAGAATCTAGAATGTTCGATGCTACCCTTGGAACTTAGAATGCTGCAATATTACCCGTGGCAAATTCACTAGCATTTCAATTACAATTCAGCAACATTATCTTATATATTTGTTCTTCATTAGAACTTAATTTTTAGAACATTGCATGCCTGTATCTCAGCAGATGTAAAAATAATTATGTGACTAATAATAATCAAACAGTTTCTTCAATAAAATTACAAAAGACCTGGTTACAAGCGTATGGTGGTGATAAATGATATCATATCGATTATGATATTTCTTATGATATTTAGAAAAAAACCCAGAAAAAAAGAATATGATATTCAGAAAAGAAAGAGATACTTTTCTTTTTCTTCTTAATATACCCTCAATACTTTAAGTCACTTGCAGTCCCCAAGAATTGATGAGTTCTAGTCTCATTTATAAGTGCACATCAAGAAAAAAAACGAAGGCTTCGGAACATGAAGTATCATTAAGCACTTCTTCTCTTAATTACCAAAAAGACATGAATTTTGTTCCACGTTGCAGTAAAAAGTGTAAAAGTAACCCTGCCTATTCCATAGAAAAGTGTAAATAATGAATGAAATTACACTCGTGCGCACTTATCCATTCAGCGTCTCAGTATTCGCAGAAAAAGAATTTTTGGCTTAATTAGCAAAAAGAGAACATGAAAAGATTCGAGGTGGAAAAAATAAGAAGAATGTGTGTCGTTCGCATTAGTCCAGAATTGTAGAAATTTTGAAAAAAAAAATATCTATGGAACAAGAAAAGAATGATTGCAGTTGAAATTTGAGACAAAAAGTTGAATTTTTTTATTTTTCTGGGGAATTTAATAAATTTCTAAGTTCACTAATCTGCTAATTTAACTGAAATATTTTATTGTCATGAATTGTTATATCGAAATTCAATGCATTGATATTCGATCAATCCTAATAGTTCTAAAAAAGTAATAAATTCATCTAGTTTTTAAAAGGTATGAAACTTAAATGACTCTATATTTACAATGCAATTCATAACTATTTTTAAACTTATAAGAATGAAATCCAATAATAACTCGTTGAATTGAGAGTTGTGAAACAATATCATAAAATTTTTTTTAACTTGTCACTTTTCACTATTATTAATACAAATTAATTGCTATTGTAATAGTGACATGACAATAGCAGTTAATTTGCACTTTTCCAAGGACATAAAGTCATGCTGAGATTATACGAGAAATAGCGGAGAGTATCAATGATTAAATGATCCGGAATAGGAAACAATCGTATAGCCAGCTGTTCGCTTCAAATATATGCTTCAGAAATTTCTGTGTAAATCCATTAGGAAAGATAAATCAAAGATCGTCAGTTAATTCAAAAGAATTGCTGAAACGTGTTTAACAGGTAACAATTTCCCTTCATACTGACTACTTGTTACATTAAGTAACTAATTAGATTGAACGATTCATGACGATGGATTCCTCTAAATATGGTTTCAGTTCGTATGTTTTGCGTTGCAGATAGTTTTAATTTACATGTTCCGTGATTGCCTTAAGGAACTTCTAAGTAGTTGTAAGTAATATCTGTTTATCATAGACAGAATTCATTTTCACAAAAGTCAATACAACAAATAAATCTATGATAGTTTAATGCGTACTGATTTAAAAGACTTGGAATAAATTTATGGGACTTAATGATAAACCAAAATACTCTCATAAATGAGAAGTTTTTTCTTGCCATCTCTTTTTTCTATGAAGTTGACATTGCAACCAACTGATGCGCTTTACATTTACCTTTAAAAAAATTGATATTTTTATTTAAAAATGACTTTTTTTACAACTAGTAATGGCATTTAAACTAGTAGCTTTTTCCGCATCCTTTATTATCTTAAAAGTCTCAGTGCTAAATCATTTTTGTTAAATGCCTACATACAAGATTAACGTCATAGGCATTTCCTGTCGAAAAAAAATCCTCAAAAATTTCAGATGAGAAATGTTACAAAGAGAAAAAAAGTAACATTATATAAACGTTACGACAAGTCCTCAACGAAAAGTATTTTTTCTGTCCCTATTTTGGTGTCTTTAAGTCAATTTGTACCATCTCTTTTACATTTTTTCACTTAAGTAGTAGAAAATCTTCAATCGATTTATTCCACATATTTCAATTCTTTTGCTCTCTAAACGATAACTGCCAGTAAGAAAAGCTAACAATACTAACTATTCCTTCTTGAATACCTTTATAATTTTAATGAATAAATTCCATTAAGAACTATAATGGAAGAAATCCTCATTGAAATTTTGTTTTCAGTAATAAAGAATTGATTACTTCTCAATAAAGTTAGAATACTATTCAAACTTAATTCTTTCTTAATTATGACTTCATTTATTTGCAATAATGAAATTAACAACTGAGAATGCAGAGATGAAATAATATAAGTGTTTAGCACCGTTTTTTTTAGGAATAGTTCTGGTAATATGAAACGTCTAAAAAACTATACATTTAATAATGCATAAATTTTGAGAAATAAAATCTTCGATGAGTTTCTCTATTAAAATAAGACGAAATTGGTTTCCATCCTATTTTTTTATATTGTTCTTCTAACTTTCCTTGATCATATGTATTTTAAACTTTTTTATAAAAACAAACTTTTACAATTTGATAATTCAACGATGTAATTAGATGTAATCACAACGCTTACACTAGCCTTAATTGCAACAATTCAACAATTATCAAATAACATTAGAAAGAAACCATACATAATCGTACACATGACAAAATAAACAAACTCGATGTTTTTTTAATTTTTTTTAAGACCTACTCGCAAAGGAATATAAATTTAAAACTATTACTTTTTAAAGAGTTAGTTATCTCAAATAAATTAAGTATGAAAACCCTGAAGCAAACGAAAATGAAATTAACTTGAAATATTAAATAATGACCTAAAAAATTTCAAAAATTAGAAATCAAATCGATAGGAGAATGGTTCACTCATTCAAGAGATTGTTGTAAATAAGGAGATAAAGTTGACGATGAAATACAAACAATCTAAAGATCGTGCCGAATAACTATTTCGAGATCCTGGGAAAATAAAAGCTCAACTCATCTTGTATTTAAAGCCAACACTGACTTTTCTGAATACAAATGACACAAATAGTAAAATAAACAAGTATATATCATATTTGTGCAATTTCGAATATATTTATCAAGAGATAAGAAATTCCAAGTATTTCACGAGATGAGACCTATACTTCGTAGAAAATGAAGTACTATAAATGAATAAATTCGATATTGCACATAAAATGAAGATAACCAAAAAATATACTGTCCGACAATTCTCCACCATGGAAAATATACCCTATTACCTTTCTCGTCACGCACAAAAACGCCTTCTTTGTAGTACCGGTCTGAAAACTTGTACGATGAAATTCAATTTTCAAAAATTTTACAACTGAGTGAATGAACTCGAGTACTCATTATAACCATCATTATTATATAACTTCTAAGTTTTTAACTTGCAGAATATTTTCTCAACTAATTTCATTTTTTGTAAATAATTATTGTTTTGAAGCATGAGTTTACTATGATAATACATTGTTCTGTGAAAAAATATTATGACACTGTATTTCAGTTTAAAAAATATACAAAAGTATGAAAAACTACCAAGAATATTATCCTTGTATTGGTAAACGCTGTATAACCAATCACGCAACTTCTCTTCATCTTCAAACGGTACCTGGAATTGAAACCTTGATTTAACCTTCAACTCTAATAACAGCTGCAAAGCCTATTTTACCTCCATAAATCAAAACTTATGGCTTGCGAAAAATTTCCAAATTACGGAATATTAATTCAGAAGCACATTCCTTTGCTTTAAAGCAATAATGATGAAGGAAAATCACTTATCTAAAGAGAGGATTAGATTACACAAAGGAGAAATCCTCATTTTAACCCGATCCACCATAAATAACCAATCTTTGTCTCGCAAGATGAAATTTTCGTTTTCATCGATGCCCTTTCATTTTATAAATTTGACAGTTCCAACTAAAAGGTGTCATAATTAAAAAATGGCAAAACTTACATCACTAGCATCATAAATTTTATAATGTACACCAATATCGCATGGTTCACGAGTGCCAAAGCTCAGTGTGAAAAGTGAAAGAGGCATTTTATGTGGATATGCAATCGTCACATCCAGTACATATTTTATCGGAGGTCGCATTTCTGAAATTGGAGAAATACTTTAAGAAACGAGTTTGCGGTAAACTGAATTTATATTTTCGCCAATGGAAACAATTTATTTTTGCCCTCCCAAATCTGTTCATCTGAATTTTATAATGAAATACAGTCTCCTAAAAACTTGTAAAACCTTCACAACATTGTAGGAAGCAAATTTCATAACTCACTATAATTTTCTTGATGCTATTCCCAAGCTACCTATCTTCCTCTAAAGGTAAAACAATGTCCTTCGCAACTTTTGAGTCACTGAATCAAGAACTCTTCTAAATTTATGCAACCTAAATCGCATAAAATTTAATTCACACATTTAATTGTATTAAAGCTCTTTTTTTTTTTAACCCAGTTCAAATACATAGGAATAGACGAAACCAGAAAACCTCACGAAATAGTAAATTCTTTGCACACAGTACTGAATTATAGCCCTATTAAAATTGTATACAAAGCAAACATCAATTCCTCCGTCTGCCTAACTGTCTGCTGATACGCTGTTTTTCTACTGTTTCCCATAGCTTACTGCATTCAGTAGTGTAAACATCAAAAGTTCGTCCAGGCCAATACCTTTAGAATTTCAACAATATTTCCTAACTACATGTGATCACGCTCTCATGACGAAACTCTTCTCTTAAAAAAAAAAAAAAAAAATATTACTAAGTACTTAGTAATGTTTCATTCCACGCGCGTTTGACATAACACCAGCCAGTTCCAAGCTGACGTCTTGTTAACTTGGCAGATGACATTGTGCAAATGTCTCGATATAAAATTCGATCGATATAAAATTTTGCATATTATAAATACAACACTACGAAATGAAGAGAAAGATATCTTTTATCTTTCAATTCCAATCACTTTTGCTTGCAAAATCTGACACAAGGTCCTATAATATGAGGCATCGAAATTCAACTAAAAACTACCACCGAAAATTTTTTCCGTCTAAAAATTTGTTAAATTAAATCACATTCAAACGATATATGAAGTGATCTCGTGCTTAAATGAACATACCACTGCGCTTTATTCTACGGTTTTGTTTTGAAATCATACTATTTTGTAAATTATTTTCCTAGAATATTATGATACTTATTGTTCTTATCTGATCATTGTGATAATAATCCAAAAACAGTCTAAATTTTGGTTTCCCTATAAGTCGAAACATATTTCATTTTTAATAAATCATTGTAATCCCTACTTCCCAATTAAATTGTATTCCTGTATTCAATCTCATGCAGAAATACAAATCTTGATCAATGTTTTGCGCTAGTTTGTAAATTACATTTCAAAATAGTTTTCTTTTGCACCTTCTTTACATGCCCTAGCCTCCATTAAAGTGATATAAAGTACGGATCCACCCCCTCCCCCCCCTCTTTTCTACAAATTCCACATCATTTCCCGATCTTTGGTCAAACAAAATAAGACACGTCATCAGAGACTCTGCGAAAGCACACATCCCAAAATTCGAGCGGCAATTAATGTCTTTCGACAAATAAAATTAGAATTTAGGACTCTTTCATTATTTTGCGTTTAACTCGGATTATTCTTTTATCGAACAATTATTAAAAACTTTTCCTACATACATAATTAATTGCCAGGGATTATCAGTTTTACTTTCTTTTTGACTTTCCATAATAAGTTCCAGTAGAAAAAGTAGATCGACATTTCTGTCACAACTAAATATAAAGATTATGTAGATGAATCTTGTCTTCAACCAACCTGTCAATTAAAATTCATCTAAGACTCATCCACAGATAAACCTGAAAAGTACTATTTTCTAAAATGAATTCACCCGAGTGCCTTTCCCCAATTCTATTTATAGTTAAACCCGATAATAAATGTATAGATGCATAGGGAAAAAATAAAAATAAACGACGAATTGTTTTTTGAAAGTAGAGACTGACAAGTATTCTCGATTAAATTCCAATTATTTTAACACAGATTCATGAATTCGGTATCAATGGATAAGACATCGTTTAATCTATGGTTAAACAATACAGCAGAACAATGTATGCAAAGTATTGCAGTGTACTATCATTTATCACTCATATTTCTGATGCCCCTTCTTGTTTCGCTTTTAATTCTTTATTTGGTGAGTGGAAATGAATCTGAATTTGGGGAACTAGCACTACAAAGTCTTATACATCTTGTCATTAAAATAAGAAAAATATGCACTTAACCAATCTTAGCGAAGCCTAACAGATGAAGATGTGTTTCCAGTGTAAACGTACCACTGGAAAAGTAACAGTAAGGTTAATTAAGATTCATGTTCAAAATATATAACACACTAGTATGCTAATGCACTTAACCACACCGTTTATTTTTTCCAGATCGTAACGCCATGGTGGCCCATTATTCTACTGTACTTAACGTGGTTTATTTATGATCATAAATCTCCTAAATGTGGTGGTTACCCGTCAACATGGTGTCGTACTCAGTCTATTCACAAATATTTTGCGAGATATTTTCCAATTCATTTACATATAACTACTCCCTTGGCATATGGAAAAGTAAATTTTAACTTTTGAAAATGAGAAATAAAAAGCGAACAAAACCTTTGAGAAAATATTTAGATCAGACTAAGGTAAAAGATTTACTGGAAATTGAACAATTCCAGAATTACCTTATTGGCTCGCATCCACATGGAATTATTTCGATGAATACATATGCTAATTTCGTAACCAACGGTACCGGACTATTTGAAAAACTTCCTGGAATGACTGTTCGAGTGTGTACATTGGTATCGCAATTCTGGATACCACTACGTCGCGAATGGGCAATGCTACATGGATTAATTGATTGCAGTAAAGAGAGCTTACATTATGTGCTGAATAGCTCTATCAACAACATTGTTGTACTTATCGTAGGTATGCTATGTTACTGATATGTAACAGCTGAAATCCTTGATATATCAATCGATATATCACAGATTTCACTCTTACTCGAACACGAAATACGCATGAATGTATGTGCAATAAAAGAAATTTGCAGGAGGAGCAGAAGAAGCGCTGGATGCACATCCCGGTAGCCATATGTTAACACTCAGTAAACGAAAAGGCTTCATAAAAATTGCAATAGAAACGGGTGCCCAACTAGTGCCAATGTACTCTTTTGGGGAAAATGAACTTTTCGAACAGGTGAGGAACAACTTTAAAAAATTCACATGAAAACATCATGAGTTTATGAAGATCTGTTTGCTTACAAGAAAAAAAAAAAAAATACGGTCATTTCTAGGTAAGCAATCCTGAAGGGTCTTCTTTACGGTGTTTTCAAAGTAAATTGAAGAAAATTATGAAATGCTCTTTGCCAATATACCATGGCTGTGGATTATTCAGCAATTTTGGGCCGCTTCCTTATAGGCAAGTTTCAAAATTCATTTTCGATGCAAACCTCAATCAGACCTTGTGGAACTTTTCTCCAAAATCAAATAAAGTCTGGTCCTAAGTGAAGTCTAAACCGTTTAAATTTACAAAATTCTGATTTCATTAAAAACCCATCCATGAAATTTCTTCCTTGAATATGAAATAGCAATACACAAAATTGCGACCTAGATTCTCTTTAGTAGTACCGAATATTGTATATTATCTTCAGCTTAGTGAGCATTTAATTTTTAAAAGTTTCTAGGAAATCTTTCCAAAATTAAAGTTTTTGGTACTAAGCAAAATTAATCTAAGATTTCTAAGAGACATTTGCATCAAGAACACTAACAAACTCATTTTAGCAAACCCATCGACACTGTTATTGGGACACCCATACCTGTGATCAAAAAGAAAAATCCAACAGAAGAAGAAATAGATCGCCTCCATGAACATTACATCAACGCCTTGACTACACTCTTTGAGACTTACAAAACCCAATTCGGAGTACCAAAAAATGCTTCGCTGATTATTCGATAGCTAACATATAAAATGCAATAAGTATGTTCTATCAAATGGCATTTCTCTAACATAATCTTTGAAAAAGATAATGAAAATTCTTATTTTCTAATCTAAATTAGTAAGAGACACTCAAGGATTTACACCTTGTTCGCAAAGAAAAAAAAACTTAAATTTGAAAAAGAGACAAGTGCATCGAAATAAAAAGCACATTTGTCCAATGAAAAAAAATCCGTGGTTTTTCTGCCAATTACCACTACGTTATATTAAAAACAGAATGTTTGTTATTCTCGTCGAATGCAAACAGGAAAAAAAAACCTTTGATGTATTTTTTTTCTCGGATTGCTCCAACTGTATCCCGAATTAGCTGCAATTTGCTACCGTTTTCAGACGCAGTTACACCATCTGCATAATTGTAACCTTTTTTTGGACCAACTTCCTCCATAACTGCTTTAATAGCACCATAACGAGGTAATGTTGCATGTTCCAAGTGCGGATAACCATTTTCACGACCATATCTAAATATCACCAAATATGCAATTCACATGCTTAAGCTATTCTTTTGCAGCAACATCTTGGTAATTTGTTTTAATATAATCAACGAAGACCGAAAAAGAAAATACGAAACTATTATGAATTTGTCATTTGTCCATTTATCTTTTCCCATTAGCTGATTTTGAAGTTGGACACCATTCTTAAAAAATCCCATAACTCTCAGCCCCACTTTAACAAAAACTTCCGGTTACTTCTGACTAGACTGAATCCTTTTATAGTAGAAACCGCCTTCTGGGAACAGAATAATCCAACGTCGGTCACGATCCCAAAAAACTTTTCGTAAGTGATCCTTCAAACGAATCAGCTCCTTTTCTCGTGTTGCTCTTCCTTGTTTAATAAAATAATCACCATGCATTTGAGCAATAATTCCGAATGGTGTCCATCGAAACATCACATCCATTAACCATAAAGTCTGAAAAACGTGCTGTTTTTGTGTTCACCGATTCAGAACTAACTTGCAACAAGGAAAACTACAAAAAGAACTATTAAGATTTATTTTAATAAAAATATTACAGTGTACCTTTCTACTGGCAACTCCCTTGCTTTGTAGGGTGGTCATCAGAACAGGAACATCTGCGGTACTCTGATGATTGCACATAAGAATAATCCGTTCATCAACACATAACTTTCTAACATCATCACCGTATTCATACACTGAAAATATTTTAGATGATTTAGAAATATTTGTGAAAATGAAACACTAAAAAGAAGGAAAGACTTTGAATTGTTAAAAACCAACCATCATATCCAGCAGTATAGCCCGCATAGCCAATGAACGCTTGTAACCAAGAATAAAGCTTTCCTTCATAAAACCAATACAGTCTCGGCCTAAACATGATTTTCATACATACTTATCAAAATTAAAAACTGGTAAGCAATTCCTTTTAAAACAGTTGCCAGAATGAAAAAAATGACCAAAACTATAACGGATTTTCTTCCAGTCTTTAAGTACGACCGCGTAACTTTGAAGCAGATTTCATCACAGTAATGAAACGTGGAAATCCTCACCATAAAGATCGAGCCCAAAGAACTGGAAGCATAAAGCCAAAGTAGGTAACAAAAAAAACCGTGACATTCGATAAACATAAAAGAGTACGAAACGGTGTTTGTAGAATCCAAATGAATCTAAGCAAAAGAAATGTAACTTTATCACATCAAGAAATATCAAGTTACTCATTACAGCCATTTATCATTTACTATACTTCAAAACACTTTTTTTATTTAATTGATCCTTCCTATTTAAACAACTACATATATCCCAGATATAGATATAGATTTTTTTTTTTTTTTGTTTTTTTAACAGGATTAGAGTACAAAATTTAAAAAATTCCAACTTTGCACATTTCCGATTCAATTATTAATCAACCAAAAATCTTTAACAGTTGCTCTGAAAGGATACACAATTCCCGGAGGAATATCACAAAGAGCTTACCGCTCTAAATTGGTTTTAGTTGACCAAGCAGATTTATCACCCGGTGTTCTGTACGGTGAATGTGGGCGCATCTCTGGTGCTGGTATTGAGGAAAGCGTTGCCATATCATTCGTTATTGAAATCACAGTTCTTCCTTTCTTTTCTTTCTTGTAACTATTTACCTATATCATTTTTTTTCTTTTTTTTTTTTTTTTTTTTTTTTGAGAAGTTTAAAGCAATGTCTTTTAAGGTTCCATGAACGGATATCCTTCAAGTTATAATAGCCTCTGCTTTCCTCGCTTCTTTTCCAAAATATACACAGAGAAAAGAAAAAGGAAAAGAACTGCTTTAAACAAGTTAGAAAAACAAGAGACTCCGATTCATTCTGCCAGTTCAAACAGATTTAATGTGCGCAAATTACATCTCGAATCCTAATTTTATAGCAGTACATTCATTATGTGCAAAGGAATGTCATATTATTCTACTTACATAAATTTTGATCGAAATGGTAAGGAGTTAGAAACTTTTTACCAGAGCACTATTAAGATGATATGTATATGCATACAAACTTAATCCATTACTTATCAGTGTTAACTTCTGCATTAATGTTTTAATCAAAATTTTTATACGCTCCTTCCAAAATGAATTACGCTGAGTTTCACTTACGCAGATATTTGATCATTCAACAAAACGAATAATATCGCAATATTAAGTAAGCATCGATAATGATTTACAGCCAGTGCTGTCTAAACCAAACTAAAGACGTTTAAATTAAGCGAAATTTTGAAAAAAGCGAAAAAGTATATTGACTAATTTAGACATTGCACTTATTACCGACCAAAACTTTATAGCTGATAAGCGAATGTTTACTTTTGATAGCTTTAAACAACTTGTAAAACTCATTAAGTAATGTCATCAAAAAGCTAGCGAAACGTATTTTCGCTATTGAACACAAAACTCTGTAAATCCTTACAAGACAAATAAAAAATTACAAACTTTCTTAATTCAAAATTCTCAGCCGTTACGATAATGTGATAAATCGACGGGTAGGGCAACCAACTGCAAACATAGAACTCAAAACAACTCGCTAACCACTGCTCTAGGTTACTCGTCACTGATGTCTTAACCCGCCGCTGCATTACCCAAAACTCTACCTACCCATTCCTCACCCATCCACCATAAACCCTCGACCTCTGCCCTCTCTCTAGCGAGGGTGAGGGAAAACGAGAAAGCGGAAGACAACACTACGCACTTACACGTCAAAATCAACAAATCAACAAACAAAAAGGAAAGTTTTCGTGTCAAAATGTAAACCTTCAAAATTTTCATTTATTGCAGCGAAATTTCCACGGAAGAGATCATTTGTAGTTCGCGTGGTCACGTGAGATAGCAACTGATGATGATCTAGTGGGGACACTGCAAAGGTGACAATGTAAACAGCTGATAAGACAATGTCTATTTCAATTTTCATTTTTGCTAGTATCCTTTGTGGAGAAAAAAATATCACTTTCACTGTCATTATCACTATCATCTTGACTTGCTTATTTATTTAATAAGAACTAAATAATATAAACATTGTTATCATTATTATCAATACATCAAATGATTTTGTTTGAAGCCTAAATCATTGTTTGATTTCAGTAACTTATAATTCTCATCCATATATCACTTTGAAGGTTTCGAGAGATAAAAATGGGAAAGAAAGAAGAGAAGGACGAGATTATATTTAAGAATATAGCTGGTTCGGTAAATATTAAAAGTTATAGAAAAGTGCTGGACGAATTGAACAATGCTGAAAGTGAAAGTGTAAATGGATAGAAATTGACCAATTTAAATGAGACAAAAGTTTTATTACTTTTTAACATTGCATTTTTATGTATTCTTTTTTGCATTTTATTTCTTTTTACTTTCTCATAATCTGCAATAAAGCAATTGTATGTGACAAAGAGAGTGAAAGAAATGAATCATTTTTGTAGCTGAAAGGTGACAATTTTATATAAAATATAAAGGTTCTTTGACATTTCTATCAAATGCTATGGGGATGATAATCAATTGAGCATTTTGATTCCACAAAACTGTTTTGGTAGGGCAAGCTGTTGAAATTAATGTTAATTTATATTGTATAAGCAAAGTGCAAACATTCAAATTTGAAAAAATTTAATGAATGGAGTTTAAATCAGGCTGCTTATTTCCTGAAAATTCCTAAAAGTCAATGGGTAAAATATTTGTACAATCAGTGTTTATGATTTGAATTCAACTTTTATTTGGGATTTCAATGGTGTTTGCAAAAAGGCGTAACGATGTGCTTATTTTTTCTTTCATTTTTAAGTGTTTATTTAATCAGGCTAAGTTATACAAAAATAGTGAAATAACTTTTGCCAACATGTTTTTCCTCAAGTAATTTAAGAATTTCCAAGAGTAATGTATTGCGATTTTTTTGGATTTCTCGGACTTACATGAAATGATAATAGCTTTTGTGATTTTTGGAAGTTCCCAATGACAAAAGCTCAGCATCGTTCAATTGATCGTTATCAGAAAATAATATAATTGCTGGATTGAAGAATAGAACTTTGAAGTATAAGTTGCCATGTATCGAAGTGAGTTGGAAGTCAATAAATATCAGTGCTTTTGCTTTAAGAATTAAATAGTTTACAATGGCATACCTTTCTTTCAACCTTTACCAATGATTTTTTACAATCTTCAATAGATAAATTAATGCATGCAGAGATTGCCGTTTGCATGGAAAACATTTAAGTAAAATGAAATTTTTTAAAGAAAAAAAAAGTACATGCCATCTAACATTTCGCTTTCAATCTCCTCCAAATATCCAAATATTCCTGACTTCAGTAATATTTCAAGATATTTTGTTTGATACCAAGTTAATGCCAAAAAGTAAATTTTTTCGTTGAATAATAAGATATTGAAGAAATAAATTATCATTCATTCTCTGAAATAAATTTTATTTTAAAAATTGATACATTCATTTCATCTATTTACAATATTTCCGTTATCGGATCGCATTCTTCTTTACCTTAATATGCCGCGAAAACCGCCAGATTTTTACAATGCTTTAAATAAAATAAAATTATAATTTTGCAAGCATCAAATTGAATTAAAATTTTTTTTTTTGAAAATTGCATAAATAGATTCATTGACATTTTTAAATTTATTACCTATACAAGCTGGTGTGTTTATAGGTATAATTTCATTTTAATGCTGTCAATAGTCTCGCTGAACATAAATAGTAATATGAACCACTCATGTCCTTTGCTGAATTTATTATCCATCGTCTCCTTTTGCAACCATCTTTCTGGGCAGAGTACTGTTGTGATGAAATTGATGTGTTACTTATTTGACCTAACTGTTGACCTTTTCACCTGGGAAAAAACGAAGTTTCTTAAGAAAGCCTATTATTTAATTGGGCCACTTTTCGTTTTTCTTGGAAATATTTATATTTTACTTATCTCAATGATTTAATTATAAGTACCAAAAAAATATGGATATTGAGATATTTCGAAGTATCAAGAAGATTATTACATCATTTTTCTGTAATAATTTTCTTATCACATTTTAAAATTTTTTGAATTTTTTGAGAAACATAACAAAAACAGTAGCAGTGTCATTCATTTAACTTATCTTGGCTGCAATGATCGAACTGGCCAGTTGGAAAAGTAAGTATTGCAATTTCCAGGCCAAAATTAAGCACTAATGGCTACATTAGCAGAGCAGTTGAATCCCACTCCAGTGCAACAAGCTGAAAATGAACCGTCCATTATCGAAGAAGAAATTGTTGCATCAACTGTTGCAGGCGCAGATACGGAACAGGTGTTCCGGTTTTACCTGTTATATTTCTTTTTTCTTTAAAGTTTTCCGAAACATTCACTCACAAGCAATAAATTATATCTGTAATTTTTGCAACTACTCACTAGTTAACAAATAATAAAGTTTGTTTATTCCAGCTTTCTGACCTTTCGGAGGGGTATGAAGGCTCTTTAACAAGTACAAAGGGTTCTTCATCATTTTCATTCTGGTATCATGTAAGTTACATTTAAAATGTTAATTGACTTATTCTGGATTCTGAGACTATTTCCTGTATGCCAACGATGACATTTTAACGGTAATTCGAGAGCTCTAAATGCTGTTCACCTAAAAATTGATTTGTTCGAAATTGTTGTGAATTAATTTCATTATACGGAAATTTTCAGCGAATTGCTCCACTGGTGCGCAATAGGCAAGTACGAGTACTTTCGGTTATTAATTGTATCCTGACAATAATTAATTTATTTGTCATATTGCTTATCGTTACAAGCTGCTTTTGGTTGTTAGCGCTCAAAATTAAGGTCTGCGCTCAAGATTAAAATTTTTAATTTATATTCAACAAATAGTTTGATATTGCTTCCAATAAAGATACCGAAAAGACTGGATACAAACATAATATACCATGATATTATAGCATAGTCAACTGCTTGAACGTGACATGCCATGCTTTTATCGTTTTAAACCATGGTCTCAGTGCTCGGCAACCTGTTGGGATGACGGTGAACCGATGCCAGTTATGCAACGTGAAATAGATGAAAACAAATTAGTGATGACAAGAGGGAAAAATTTTGCGAAATGTCCATCGAATATTAAAGAAAAATTTATACAAAAAGCACCGTGTAATTTACAACGGCAAGTTTATTGATTCGTTAGTTAATACTAATAATGCACTCCTGATTTTTAACTAAATAATATTTAACATATATGTTAGGGAAATGAGTAAACAATTATTTACCATTACGTGATATTGCGTTCTTAACATTTTGAACTTTACTTTGTTCAGTAATTAACCTTTAGGTGGAATCTTTCATATCTTTACGACTAACTTGAAACATCAGGAAAATTGATCAAAAAAGTTACGCAAAAAAAAAGTAAATTATGATTGAACTGCTTAAAAATAAAGTTTTGAAAGAATTGAGTTGAAATATTTATGTTTATTGTGGTAGGTATTGACTTGGTTTGTTGAATGACTCCAAAAGCCTTTAGATTTTCAAATCAGATTTGCAGATGTCCACTGAAACTTAGTTCTTTCTCAAATTGGACCGATTGTTTACATAAGAATCCAGAACTACGAAAAGAAGGAGGATGTTATCAGATACGTATACTACCACTTGAAGATCGCTTAATTTACGTGGATACGTCAGAACTTACAAGAAATTGTTCAGCTGACAAATGCCCAGAATACATTCCTTAATTTGCATCACACTATATTTTACAATTCAATATTTTCTTATTCAAATAATTACCTAACTTGCTAAGACAAAAAAAAAATTTAATTTAATGGAAACGGTCAATACGCTATTTTGAATAGTTATTACGGTCTTTCCGATGCAAAATTTCATATTTCAACAAAATTTCATAAGCATATTTAATTTTAATAACAGAGATGTCACATTTGTTTTGCATTTTTGGGATTAAATAAATATTCATTTAAGTGGCGACTGTATTTGCTTATTGTTTTGTGTGATTGAAATTGTATTTAGGCCTATTGGAAATTCTGATAAATTAATGAATTTATGAAGCATTCAAGTTCGTCGCAAAAAAATTTTACAACTTTATCGTAGGGCATTAAATATTGGAGTGACTTCGAGAGACGTAGTTATCAATGTCAAAACTGAATTTAGTTGATCACTATGAATTTTAATCAGTGAATTCAATGAATTCATATTAAATATATAAGTTGTCATTTATAGACAAGTACTAACTAGAAATTCAAATTTTAATAGGTTAAGCAAAGTGGTAGGTATTTTAGGAAAATTTTTTTGAAATAACTGGTCTTGATTTGGGAAGTACTTATTTATTTAGTATGGTCTATCAATTTGTCTATCAATATAGTATGGTCTATCAATACTATCAATTTGGTTTATGAACTAGTTTTAAAAATTTCTGTCAATTGCTAAGTTTTCAAAATAGAACGCTTTTGTCATCATGAATTTTAATTATATTGTTAGCATAAAAAAATTATACATTTGTTTCAAATAAATTTCTAATTTTGGTTCGAAATAATATATGACCTTAACATTCTAAAAAAAAACAAATAAAAATACAAAACTTTTTTTAATTTAGTAATAAAAAACAAAGTTTTCATGGGAATATTAAAATGAATGTGAAGAAAACTATACAAATAAAAAAGCTCCGATAAAAGCAAATTTTTTTTCCTGAACGAACAAATTTTTCTTTTTTTATTAAATAATCAGCCCTTTAAATCAGCAAAAATCATCAATATAATTTAAATGTTTTTATTATTATTATTATTACCATTATTATTTACATATATTGAGGGACACGGCAAAAACTTAATTTTCTTTGGCATTCTTCAACAATTTAGGAAAAAAATGATGGATTCATTTTTACTGAACGATCAAATTTGTGCACCATTCAACAGTTTATTGAATAAATTATTCATAACTTTTAGATTACACTTTTAGGGCTAAAAAAAACTCTAAAGAGTGTTATAGCTGATGTAACTACGATTAGCTCTGTGTGATTTCTTTTTTCTTTTCCAAATGACAAAATGTTCTGTCATTTAGTTTCTTATTTGACATTTCATATGTCTTCCATCAAATCTAAAATAGGTGAAATTATTCGAAATGTTTAAAAATGGTTCAATAGGAGAAATAGTAAACTATGTTTGTTCTATATATTATTGTGATAGCTTTGGGAAGATAACTAGCAATGATAAAATTATTCGAAATGCACAATAAAATGTAGGATAAATGTAGTCATTTTGAAACAAACATGAAAGATTTTGATAGAAGAGTGTACAAGTTTAATAACTGATTAATTAATGAATGATTTGGAGTTTTTTTTAAATCTTATTTTTTGGTAATGAGCACGTTTGTGACAACTTAATGGTTCAGCCTTATTTATTTTACTGCTTGTGGAGCATTTTTTGAGTTTTACTTCGAAAGTTACTGTAAACCAATGGTTATGACAAGACTTTATCAACTGGAGAAAATCAATTCAATGATTAGTTGGTTTGATTTCCTCCAGTTCATGATTACCTTCAGTTCAGCTTTAATTTGTAAATAATTGGGATTTCTTCTGGTATTTCAGTATGAATTGCTTTATTCTATATGCTAGTCTTCATATCATTTACTGTCCAACCAAGTTAATTTAAATCTTTCTCTTACATAGGCATAACTATTCCGTATTGCACATCCTCTCAAGTTCGCCAAAAAAGCCGCAACAACTGAAAAGTGGCTGTTTCATTCTTTCACAATTTATGGCGAAAGCAGAATTTTAGGTATTTGTATATACCAAAAATTTAATTTTTATTTGGAATCACTCATTAAACTGTTAGAGAACTAAAAAAAAAAACAGTGGTATAATAATTCAAAACCAAATAAAATGATAGAAACATTTTCAAAAATGTCAGCTCTATCTTTTCATTCAATGATTTCATGACAAATCGAGATTTTAAAAGCATTGAAACGTTTAAAAAACAAACAGAAAAAAAAAATACTCAGAAGAGTCAGTTTTAGTGTCACTATTAAGTCTAATTCACACTGTTTTCTTGCGTGATAAAAGTGTTAATCTAATATTATTTGATCATTAAATGACAATTCATAAGAAATTATCATTTTTTCCTTCTTTGAATTATCATTTAGTGGCTGAAAAAAATTTTAAATATTTGACGAACAAAACCGCTCATTTTAAAGATTGACATACTTCACCTCTGACTAGGTTCAATTTCATAATTAGCATTATATCGAGAATATATAAAAGTGTTAAATTACTTGAAAAAATTAAAATCAACACACTTTACAGTTTGAGTATATTCAGTTTACAGGTGAGGCAATGTACACACTAATGCATTTAAAAGCACTGTAAATTCTCGAGATTTATCGAGAATTTCTCTAAACGTATTCTTTGCTATACTTTCATTGAACTGTTCCTATCTTATCCATCAGTTTTCTGAAGTTAAGAAAAATGTGAGTATTGTCTAACTCTAAAATGTTATAAATTATCCTTTCATCATTTCATGACTAAGGATTAAAGATCATCAGCTTGTATTACATCATTAGTTTAAGCGAAACTAAATTTGTTGTCATGTCTTAAGCTTAATTTAGCTAATAGTGCAAAAATCATTGAACTGATGCTAAATTTATAAGTTAACCTGATAATTTGGTTAAAATTTAATTTTAAGATTAATTAATATCGTTAATTTTTTGGTATAATATTCATTTACTATTGTTAGTATTTTGGGAACAAAAATTTTTTGAATTTTTTGGTAGAATTACAGTTTTGAAGGGATGTGATTTAATTCCAATATAATTATATATTCAAACAAAATTCTAAATTGAAATTTCATGAAAAGAAAGCAACAAAGCAATCTTTAAAACATGATCGTAGTGAAATTCTCATATTTGAATGCATAAAATTGAGTATATAATTAATATAATATAATTGAATTAATCGTTTTCATTTAAATTAATTTTCATTTTCATAGTATTTATTTGTTAATTATTTCAACTTATGACTTTCTATTTTGAGAATTTCCTCAAATTTTTTGCTTCAATTAGATCATCTTATGACTGCTTGTTTTGTTCATATTCGCTATTAATAAATTATTATCTTATCTACTTACTTATTAGCTTCCTTAGTTTTCTTTCTAATTTCTAGAGCATATATCTTTAATTAAAGCTTTCCATCATCTTTTTGCTATCTTAACAAAAAGTTTATCGCTGCTCTCTCGGTCACTAATTTATCAACAAAAAAAAAATATCCATCAATTTTTTTCATCATTTTTGTTTATTGTTCACAAAATGGAGTGCTTTGCACCTTTTTTGGAAAATTGCATTTTATATTTTTTTAATGAGCGTTAAACTTTTTTCCTATAAAAGAAATTTACCAATCGACTTTTTACCAATCAGTCAATCAACCTATCAACCAATCAATCAATCTATCTATAATATAAATATTTTTCATTAAAAAATAATCGGAGTTAAAGTTGTTTAGAAAATAAAATTGGAGCTATTAAGTCAACAAACGAATTTATAGGTGTGCAGTCATTAACACGTATCTGCTGATGGTTGTGTTTCACGTGATTCAAAGTAAAATGTTACCTTTTAGAAAACATTTTATGAATAAGCCGAATGGGTCATTGGCATCCTTCAATAAGAAAATCTCGTCCTGAATGATCTCAATAATCCACTTACTCTTTCGAATCGTAAAATAAAGGGTATGGAATCATTAGTTTTACTTCGTTGAAGAAAGATCAAAATTATACAAAATCTATAGGTTATCATCATCTCTTAAATTTATTATGAAATTCAAGCAAACAGAAATTGAAATCTCCCTTTATACAAATTATTCCTCAATTAATTAATTATTATTGAAATGTTTCTTCTTCGTCGTAAAGTGACACTTATTCGAACTTCTCCAAAAAATGAGAAAATATAATTTTATGCGCTATTATTATAGATTGCATGTTATAAAATAATCCACGAATGTTATTTTTTGATCTTTTTATATTTATTCACACATCAAAATTTCAGAAAAGAATGTTCTGACTTATACTGTTTAAATTTAAATTTAAACAAATTTTGTTCAATGTGAAAGGACAAAATGATTATCTGAAAAGAGCTCTTTAAATTTGAATTTCTAATTTTCGTTTCTCTAAAATATTTCAATTCCTTCGAAATTTAACAATTCTATATACGATGCTTATTGCACTGCTTTTAAATGCTGCAATTGTGTTTCAACAATCCCTTTCCTCTGGTCTTTTTTAGTTTTTTACTAACTGAAAAAAGTTTTAGAAATATTTCGAAGAAAAACTTTTTTTTTCATTTCCTCAGTTTTTTCATGTGTAAAGATTTTTCAGTTTAGGAATTTCAATATTTTGTAATTTTCCTTCTTTTCATCGTTAATCAGGCATAAAAGTTAATTTCTTTTTTATCAATGAAATGCTGACAAATTTCTTTACTTTTCCGAATAACAAGTGATATCTTCAAATCATTACACTGATTAGGAAACCTCGGTGTTAGTCACGTAAGCAAGAAAATTAAATTTTCAAAATTTAATAATCTTAAATTTCTCCCTCGTGTTTTTGAATAAAATCTGCTTAGAAATCCTTAGATGAGTTAAACATAAACTTAAATTGAGCTAATTTTTGCAATTCTTACTTTAGATCTTAAAATTACTAGTATCATTAAGATTAATAAAATGATTTTGGAGTAAAATAGAACAATA